CAGCTTCCCTCAGTGAAACCAAGAAGCTGTGTGGTTTTTGTTTGTTTCTAGGCATCATCATGAACTAGTGACTGTGCGCGTATTTCCTATGATTCCGTCCATTGCAGTTACCTTCCCGCCCCTTGGAGTTTCTTTAAATTAGCCCTTCAGTCTTCTGACACAGTCCTGCTGCCATGATTTCTGTTTGCCAACATGCTCCAGGCTCAGCTCGGACATTCCTGTCCCCGTGTGGCATCAGTCTGTTCTCCGTGGACCCTGCTGTGTTTAGTGGTAAATGGTATTTCAGTACCAAACCAAGATCTGATGCCAGGTGTGCTCATTGCTCCTGGGCTGGTCATTGTTTCTAGGTCTTTAAAGTGGGCAGAACCAAAAATATAAAAGACAGAATCGATCATTTTGATCCTTGTAGTTCAGAATCGGGACGCTGAGGCTTCTCTATGGTGGCGCTGTCTCTGTCACCCTCCTCCCATGCCAGGAGTCTGCCTAAGGTTCAGGCGACGTTGTGTTGCTAAGGAAGCCATTAGAGCTGGGGAACGTGACACCAGGTGGCACAGTGCACCCCGAGAAAACAGTGCGTGCAGGTGTGCCCGGGACCGCTCCTAGGGCTGGCCTTCTCTGGGGACGACTGTCTTCTGCCACCCACCCTGCTCCAGACCCGTCTAAGAGCAGGGAGGGGGAGCTCATGGTCACCGGACCACAACATACAAGAGTGGAGGCAGCGTCCTGAAGAGACGGACAGGCACCGGTGGAGTCAGAGGGCCAGCCAGCTGTGGCGAGAGCAGAGGAGAGAAGTGTATTGGGCAGAATATTTCTTCCCTGCTTCTGCAAAGTGGCACTGGCCCACAGACACTGGCACACTGACTGCGGAGTGAACATATGAAGGGGCTTGGTGATCAAACTCCTGGCCTCTGTCCCTGCCCTGCTCTCAACTTGCTTATGTAACAGGGTCTGACAGGAACGCCTGCCCTTTGGGGGACACCTGTTCTGAATGGCAGTCTCCCCTTTACCTGAGAGGGGTTGCAAATGGCTTCTTTTCTAAGGTGTAGCAAGGGCAAGCAGGCCTGCATACCTGTGCTCTGGGCCCTGAGCACATTTGAAATTCTGGTGAAGGCTCTGCCTTCTTTCCGGAGAAGTGCGCCCATATGCAGAGTAGGTCACAGTTTGGGGTTTCACATTCCCCGAGGCCTATCTTTTTGTTTCATGGTGAAAGGAAAAACTAACATCCAGTAAGAGCACTCAAGAGGAGGGCAGTGGTTCTCAACGTTTGGTCTTAGGAAACGGTTAGAAACGCACGTTATCAGGCCCCACCCCAGAAATCTGTGTTGGGCCCAAACCATTTGTGTTTTAAAAGCTTCCGAGGTGACTGTGCCTCCCAGGAAGGCTCCTCCTGCTGACCCTCCGTCCGCCAGCCCTGGTGGCAGCCGTCTCTGTTCCTCCTAGGCTACGTGCTGCCCAGCCACGTGACCGAGGAGATGCTGTGGGAGTGCAAGCAGCTCGGGGCTCACTCCCCTTCCACCCTGCTGACCACCCTCATGTTCTTTAACACCAAGTAAGTGTCCTAGAGGCTCCGTGCTGAGCACTGCCGGCAGCTGCCCAGCGAAGAGGGTGGAAACTCCAGGCCGACTTGGAGTTCGGTGACACACATTTGAGAGCCTTTGGGCTCCTGAAAGCAGGCAGCCTCGCCAGACCCCACCACAGTCCCGATGTGACCTCTCCACGGACAGTGTGTGTGGGTGGGGCTTGCCCATGTCCTGGGAGTGGGGGTCCTGGCTCTTCTAAAGCACTGATGGCAGAGGGTAAGTCACGGGCTCCTCCTGGCACCCTCCCTTCTGCCTGGCTTTCACTTGCGGTGCAGGTACTTCCTGTTGAAGACGGTGGACCAGCACATGAAGCTGGCCTTCTCCAAGGTCTTGCGACAGACAAAGAAGAACCCCTCCAACCCTAAGGACAAAAGCACGAGTATTCGGTACCTGAAGGCACTTGGGATACACCAGACGGGCCAGAAAGGTAGGGAAGGGGCAAGGCCTGCAGAAACGGTGCTCCTCGTCCTGCCATGCTCTGTGCCAAGGGGCTAGCGATGAGTTGGGGCTGGGACTTGCTGGATAGCGATTCTCCATTTCTTTCTCCTCAGCCAGAAATGTCAGACTCTTTTTTTTTTTTAATATATTTTATTGACTTTTCACAGAGAGGAAGGGAGAGAGACAGAGAGTTAGAAACATCGATGAGAGAGAAACATCGATCAGCTGCCTCCTGCACACTCCCCACTGGGGATGTGCCCGCAACCCAGGCACATGCCCTTGACCGGAATCGAACCTGGGACCTTTCAGTCCGCAGGCCGACGCTCTATCCACTGAGCCAAACCGGTTTCGGCAGAAATGTCAGACTCTTGAAGAAGCAGAGATGACCCAGAAAAGATAGCTGTCTTTTCCTTTCATAGTCACCACCCATTCCTCACACCCTTTCTCCTTCCCATATGTCCTAGTTGGGATGCTGGGCCTGAGCTAAAGTAGTCTGATGCCATGTCTGTGGTTGGTGTGTTTTGTAGTTACAGATGACATGTATGCAGAACAGACGGAAAATCCTGAGAATCCACTGAGATGTCCCATCAAGCTGTACGATTTCTACCTCTTTAAATGGTGAGGGGGTTTCCTTCTAAGCGGCGCCTGTGTGCAGAGGCATTCTCTAGTCCCCAGCTAGAAGCGAAACACACTGCAGGAAAGCTGGGTACAGAGCAGACTGACTGCTCTCCCCACAGCACATGATGTGCTGAGCACTGGGGTCCTAAAGGGGTCCCTGCCCCTGAGGACCCTTTTCCTGGAGAGGAGTGGAGAGGAAGGGCGAGAGAGGCGGTGCAGACAGGCTGCCTCCATCGCATGGTGAGCGTCTCCGGGGCGTGACCTTTGGTCATTGCCGCCATCCATCTAAGGGGGACTCCGTTCCCTGGCTTGTGCTCTGCTGCGCCTGGCGTTGGGCTGTCACATTCCGCAATGTCAGAATGATCTTTCTACGTGGAAGGTCTGGTGTTACTTAAACCTGCAGTGGTTGTCTTTGCTCTACAAAGACAGGATCCTAACGTGGCCAAGAGGCCCTTCATTCCCTCCCCTTTGCTGACCTCGCATCCAGCCAGCTCTGGCTTTCTGGCCGCACTGGCTCCTCTCCACTGTGGACACCGTGCTTTTCCTTTCTCGAGGCCTCGGCCCAGGTTTTTTCCCTGTTGGGCAACCCCAGGCTGCCCCACCCCACCCAGTTAGCAGTCAGCTCCTGCCCACCGGTTCTCAAGCACCTGATGGGGGAAGCATTTCACACCCTACCTGTGCCCTCAGGTGCTCCATCTGTCACACTGTGTCCTGGGTGTGTCTGAGTGTTTAACTTCTGTCTGCCTCTCCCCTTATCTGTCAGCCCCAGAAGGGAGGCCCTGGTGGGTCTTACTCATTTCCTTACCATCAGCACCTAAGGCAGGACTGACAAACAGGAGCCCTTGGTGACTCTGAGTGGATGGATGAAGAGCTGAGGGGATGGTGTGTGCTACGCACTTGAGAGAGGCACGCACAGCACTGAGGGTGGGGGGCCCAGAGCAGGAATTCTCAGGACTGGGTGCAGGAAGCAACCTGAGCAAAGACTTGGAAGACAGCCCTGAGTGGTAAAGCTTATTCCAAGTCGGACATGATTGGACTCGAGTAGGTGAGCCCGGGAGCCCCAGGTCAGCGGAATCAGCTGGCATCTGAGGGCGGCACAGCAGAAGCAGCTGCCCTGGCACCCGAGGCTGTGTGTGTGGCTGTGCCACCATCCCTCCAGAGCAGCTGCCTTCCCAGCTTTTGCAGATGTCTGTCTGGGAGTTTGAGGCAGGAGGGTTGAGATTGTGGTTTTAACCAGCTTTTACTGACATATTCTTCAGTCCCCAGAGTGTGAAAGGCCGGAATGACACCTTTTACCTGACGCCGGAGCCAGTGGTGGCCCCCAACAGCCCGATCTGGTACTCAGTCCAGCCTATCAGCAGAGAGCAGATGGGACAGATGCTGACTCGGATCCTGGTGATACGGGAGATTCAGGAGGCCATTGCAGTGGCCAACGCAAGCACCATGCACTGAACTCCCTTAGCCATGGTGCTAGGGAGAGCAGCCAGGAAGAAACGGACAGACTTTCACACTAAAGAAGAGGCCTCCATTGTTTTTCTTTTTTTATTGGTGTAGTTACGAAGCCTTTCCGACTGCTTCTGTTTAAAATGTAAAAGGAAACTCTGCCCCTTGTGCATCTGCATAAACCTGCTGCGGCAGACGCTCAGCCACGGCTCCGGGCCGAGGCCAGGTTCCTCCAACATTGCTGGCTGCTTTCTCTTGTCTGGGGCCGGGGAAAGGGCTTGGACTGTTGGGGAAATGTGGCCCCTTCCCTTCCTCCAGGAAGATGGGATTCATGGCGGGTGGACCCTGCAGGCACTCGCCCCAGCTGGCTCCACTGCCTGCGACTTCGCTGGCCACAGGGGACCGGTCTTTTCTTTTATGCTCAGACATAAACTTAGCATCTAATGGAAAGAGAATGGGGGGGACTTCAATTATGATTTATTAAAGACAGTTTCTATTACAGCCTCCTTTATGACAAGTGACATTTTAGATGTTAAAGTAAACTCTACCATGCCCTTTTTTTTTGGCCCAACATTGAGGCCTTAAACCTGAGGCTACTGTGCCTGATGGAATTCTTGTAACATACACTTGTGTATCATATAAAGATACCACTCTGTTTCTCTTATGTATTCTTAATCTAGCTGTTTATTAAGAATGACAAGCACGTCTTTTCAACACGCTGGTGCACAATGCCTCTTTATTTGGGCGGAGACGGGCGGAGCGGCGGAAGCAAAGCCGCGCCAGCTCGCTGAACGGCCGGGGCTGTGCGGGGGGAGAGGGCGGGACAGTGTCGCTCTGCGCATGCGCTGTCCCGCCCGGGGAGGGGGTCCCAGCTCCGCCCACGCGCCGCGTCCTGACGTCACGACGCACAGGGCGCACTGACGACAGCCACGGGTGTATAACGGCGCGGCCCTGACGCCAGCAGACTCTGCGGCGTGCTTCTCGGGCGCTCGCGCGTTCCCCCGCCATGGCCGACTACCTGATCAGCGGGGGCACGTCCTACGTGCCTGACGACGGGCTCACGGCGCAGCAGCTGTTCAACTGCGGGGACGGCCTCACCTACAAGTGCGGGCCTCGCGGGCTCTGGGCGAGGGGAGGGCTGGGGTGCTGCTGGGCTGCATGGGGCCGCCTGGGGGGGCAGGTTCCGAGAATTCCCATCCGGCCCTGGGGCTCCGTTGACAGTGAAGCGGGTGGATGGGGCGGCACTGGCAGTGCTGGGATTTCCGACCGGGAACGCCGTTCTCTGGGCACGTGGAGCGGCTGGGGCCGGTGACAGCCAGCGGCAGAGAAGGCCCCGTCGCGCTCCACCTGCGCTCTGCCCCGCCCGGGGCGCCTGGGCCCGGTCGGTGCCCTCCGCCCAGATGCCTTTGAGATGGTCTGTGGGATGGAGCCTCCGGTTGCACCGCGCCTGAGCCTCACTCCCGATTCGCTCCCGCCCTCCTAGTGACTTTCTCATTCTCCCCGGATACATCGACTTCACTGCAGACCAGGTGGTGAGTATGGCCGGGAATTGGGTCCTTCGCGTTCAGACCGGGGGAGGGGCTGCCGTGCCTTGTCTGCCTCCCAGATCGGGCGGAGCGTGCAGGTCGTGCCGGTCCTGTTCTGTGGGAGACGGGCACCATCGTGCGTTGTGTGGACTGTTTCCTCACATCGGCTGGCCTTGTGTCCTCAGGACCTGACCTCTGCTCTGACCAAAAAGATCACCCTGAAGACCCCCCTGGTGTCCTCCCCCATGGACACGGTCACGGAAGCGGGGATGGCCATCGCAATGGCGGTGAGCACCGTGGGGCAGAAGGGCGGAAGCAGGGCATGGCCCCAAAGATGGTCATGCCGCTCCTATTCTTGTCAATTTTCCCGTCATTTTCTTATTCTATAGCTGACAGGTGGCATTGGCTTCATCCACCACAACTGCACACCTGAATTCCAGGCCAACGAAGTCCGGAAAGTGAAGGTCAGAAGGACAAGGATCCTGGGCAAGAGCCCCTGGGCATTGCGCTGTGGTGGGGCGGGGCTGTTCGGGTCCTCAGGACCCTTTTCCCACTGTGGAGCATGGGAGCGGGGGTGGGTCTTAAGGCAGCAGAAGAGGATCAAGTGAACAGCACCCACACCCCCGCCCCGTCTCCTGCCCCTGGGGTGAGGGGTCAGTTTGGTTTGGTCCCGTGGCACTGCCATGGGGAGAGCCGGCACAAACTTGTTTTCAGACCAAGAGCCGATGAAGGTGATTCAGAAATGCCCGTTCTCGTCTCTTCCAGAAATACGAGCAGGGCTTCATCACAGACCCCGTGGTGCTCAGCCCCAAGGACCGAGTGCGGGATGTGTTTGAAGCCAAGGCCCGCCATGGCTTCTGCGGCATCCCCATCACCGACACGGGCCGGATGGGCAGCCGCCTGGTGGGCATCATCTCCTCGCGGGACATTGACTTTCTCAAGGAGGAGGAGCACGACCGGTTTTTGGAAGAGGTGGGTGCACTGGCCAAGCCAAGTTCTGGCAGCCAGACTAGGACAGGAGCCTCTTTGCCTCGTGGCATCTCTGAGGGTCTCTACTGTCCAGGAAAGACGAGTGCCTGGCCAAGTGTCTGATCCTTCCATAGAGTTCCACCACCCTCAGCCCCTACACACCCACACACTGGAGGCCTCGGTCTGCCCAGATGTTTGCCAGCCTGCATGCTGTATTCTTCCAACCCCAGGGGGAAAGCAGTGCTCAAGGACCAACTCGGCCTCCTCTTCTAATTTTCTTGTCATTGATCTGGTGTGGCCCTTCTTTCTCCTAACAGTGTAACAGGCTACTCTACATACCATAGTGATATATATATATATTTTATTAATTTCAGAGAGGAAGGGAGGGAGAAAAAGAAACATCAATGAGAGCCCATCATTGGTCGCCTGCCTCCTGACTGCTCCCTACTGGGGATCAAGCCTGCAACCTGGGCAGTGCCCTTAAGTGGAATTGAACCTGGGACCCTTCAGTCTGCAGGCCGACGCCCTATCCACTGAGCCAAACTGGCTAGTGCCATTGTGTCCTTTCTACTCAATTCTCATGCTCCCCACTAGATGGCTGCAGACACTGCTGGGTTCACTTGAGGGGGTGGTTTGGGTAGCGAGTGAACACGATGGTCTTGGGAGCCAAGGGCAGGCCCTGGGGGGTCTGGTCTTCAGCTGGCCTTCCTCACAGCTGCCCGCCTTTCAGATCATGACGAAGAGGGAGGACCTGGTGGTCGCCCCGGCCGGCATCACACTGAAGGAGGCAAACGAAATCCTGCAGCGCAGCAAGAAGGGTGAGTCCGGAGGCAGGAGGGCCCGTCCCGCAGCACCAGGGTCCTGACCCGGTCTTGTGCCCTCAGGGAAGCTGCCCATCGTGAATGAAGATGACGAGCTGGTGGCCATCATTGCCCGGACAGACTTGAAGAAGAACCGCGACTACCCACTCGCCTCCAAAGACGCCAAGAAGCAGCTGCTGTGTGGGGCGGCCATTGGCACCCATGAAGACGACAAGTACCGGCTGGACTTGCTGGCCCAGGCCGGCGTGGACGTGGTCGTGTTGGTGAGCTCCCGGCCGGGCGGGATGGGGCGGGAGGGCGCGGGGGGTGCTGCCACGGCGCGGTCTCACGGCACTTCCCCCTGTTCCAGGACTCCTCTCAGGGGAACTCCATCTTCCAGATGAACATGATCAAGTACATCAAAGAGAAATACGCGAGCCTCCAGGTCATCGGAGGCAATGGTGAGGCCCATGGCGCTGAGGACGCAGGCGAGCAGGGGAGAGAGGCTCCCACCTAGACCTTCCCTGAGCCCCCCGTTTCCCATTGCAGTGGTCACCGCGGCTCAGGCCAAGAACCTCATCGATGCGGGTGTGGACGCCCTGCGGGTGGGCATGGGCAGTGGCTCCATCTGCATCACCCAGGAAGGTAAGACGCTCTGGCAGGACCCTCAGCTCCACAGGCCTGGAGCCAAGTGCTCTCAGGGGCACGAGTGAGTCCATGGTAGGGGCAGCCCCAGGGCCAGCAGGCCCCTTGGATGGGTGACATGCTGGCAGCCAGACCAGCTCTCGTCTTTCCTCGTTCCCCTTCCCCCGCCTAGCCTGGCCTCCTTGCTCCTGCTCTGCGCCCTCTCTAAACTCTGGTCTGTTTGTTTCATTTAGCAGCTCCCAAGATCCCTCCAGACATAAAGTCCCACAGCCCCAAATGCCCTTCTACTGTCACGGGCTGCTATAGTAAGTCCGGCCCGGCCCACTGGCCCGGCCCAGCTGCCCACTGCCCGGCTGCTTGGTTGACTGTAGCTGTAGCTCCCCGGGGGTTTGTGATGCTGACGGGGTGGGCTGGGCAGACTGAATGACAGACCATGGTTTTGGGGGGCTACTCAAAACCCAGCCCCTCATTCCCAGGGTGCTTACAGGGCAGGCCCTCTCCCCAGCAGGCCCTGTTCTGCCCACAGCTGCAGTCGGGCACAGCTCAGGGACCAACTCGAGCACCCTCTTCTTTCCACGCGACCGCCCCCTCTTGCCTGAGCTGCCCACTGTGTAGGGAGGAAGGGAGGGCCTCGGGTACTAACTGCACAGTGACCCTACCCACCTGATGCCAGGTGGGCGGGGCTTTCCCGGCTGCTGACTGCATGTACCTGAGGCTGCCCTGGCCATGCACAGTGCACGTGCACACGGGTGAGTGGTGGCCACCACGGCTGTTTGTATTGTTTGAAACAGGTGCAGCCGCCCCAGACGTGACTTGTCCTCACCCAGGCGGCAGTCCTGGCGCAGGTGTAGCTGAAAGCTGCTGGCCGCTGCTGTGGCCACAGGGCCCCTTGCCTGTCCCCACCAACTCCACCTGCCCATGTTCCTCCATCTTTTCACAGTGCTGGCCTGTGGTCGGCCCCAAGCCACGGCAGTGTACAAGGTGTCCGAGTACGCGCGGCGCTTTGGCGTTCCCGTCATCGCTGATGGAGGAATCCAAAATGTGGGCCACATCGCCAAAGCCTTGGCCCTCGGGGCCTCCACAGGTGAGGCCCAGCACCTCAGGAGCCTGATGGGACCCCTTGCCCAGGGCCAGCAGGGCTGCCCCCAACACTCCCTCTCCCCCTAGTGATGATGGGCTCCCTCCTGGCCGCTACCACTGAGGCCCCTGGTGAGTACTTCTTCTCCGATGGGATCCGGCTGAAGAAGTACCGCGGTATGGGCTCTCTCGACGCCATGGACAAGCATCTCAGCAGCCAGAACCGCTATTTCAGGTGGGACAGGAAGGTCAGTTACCTTCTGCCACCCCTGCACTGGCAGCTTCATCTGTGCTTTGACCTTGACCCTGCCTCTTGCCTCTCACTGCAGTGAAGCTGACAAAATCAAGGTGGCCCAGGGGGTGTCTGGGGCGGTGCAGGACAAAGGGTCCATCCACAAGTTTGTCCCCTACCTGATCGCCGGGATCCAACACTCCTGCCAGGACATTGGTGCCAAGAGTTTGACCCAAGTCAGGTAAGCTGGGGATCTTGTACGTGGGCAGAGGCTGCCCCAAGGCCGGCTGCCCACAGCTGCCACCTGCCCTTCCAGAGCCATGATGTACTCTGGGGAGCTCAAGTTCGAGAAGAGAACGTCCTCCGCTCAGGTGGAAGGTGGCGTGCACAGCCTCCATTCGTAAGTGACCCACCCGTTCCGACCCACCCTAGGGGTGGAGGTCCCTGCTGTGCCTGCCGCCCTCACCTCACAGTTGGTCTTCTATCTACAGGTATGAGAAGCGGCTTTTCTGAAAAGGGATTCCAGCATGGTTCCTTGGTTTTTCAATAAAAAATTGAAAAAAGTGATGCCTGGTCTTTGAGGTCAGCAGGCAGGTGGGGCTCGGCCGCTGTGAGCATTGCACAAGCAGGAAACAGCACCCGGTTTCCAGGGGGAGCCTCAGCCCTGGGGTCGGGGTGGCTCCAGGGACGCGGAAGGGGCAGATCAAAACGTCCCTCCTGAGGCAGCTCACAAGCCAACCCTGAGCAGCCATGGCTCCCGAGGGTCCAGGGTTCGAGCTCAGAGTGACTCGCTGCTTCGGGGTCAGGTCCACGGGGCTTGGGACCAGCATCCACAGAGCCGTCTGGCCCAAAGCTTGGCCACACGGGTCCAGGTTGAGACCCTCATGCGTGTTGTCTAGACTGAACCTGTAAACCTTGGGAAATCGAGATCACTTCCAACCTGCTGGTGAGCAGGTGGACAGATCTGTGGTTTGGGGGTGTGCACTGCCTCGGCCTCGGCGGGCCCTGTAGCTTAGATGAAAGGACCCCTTGGTTCCTCACAGGCCCACTGAGCGGCAGCCCCTGGCCAGAACGCACCCAGTACAACATGACACAAGTGGATTAAGTTATTAATTGGGGTAAGCAGACATGCGTCACAGGCTGTAGGGAGGGGCTCTGCGCTCCGGGTGCCAGGCGCCACTGGGAAGGTCAGGGGGCTCCCTGGAGCTTCACTCGGCATCGTGGGCCAGAGGTGCGAGCACAGTCCCGCCAGGTGGGGGGATGAGAGCAGCTCCTGTCACTCGGCCTTCATGACACAGGAAGTTGAAAGTGGCACAAGCATTGGGCTGCAGAGAGAGCCAGCATCAGCGGGGCCGCGCCGCGCCGCGCTCCCCTTCCCGCAGCACCCCCACGTCCCCTCCCCGCAGCATCCCGACTGACCGTGTCCTGCACCTCCACGGCGATGCCCCGCTGCCTCATGGCGCGCAGCACCCGCGGCGGCAGCCTCTCGGCGCGGTCTCCAGTGCCCACCACCACAATCTCTACGGCAGGACGGACACGGCAGGTCTACAACTAGCCCGCTGGCGGGCCGGGCGCACCCCAGCCCTGCCCTCCTCCCATACCTATCGGGGGCTCCAACATCCAGAAGAGAGAGAGGCTTTCTTCCGTGATGTCCACGTGGGATCCGACCTGTGCAGGGAGGGGACAGGTTACAGGCAGCAAACCCACGCAGGTTCCCCCTGCGCCCGGCCTCGGCGTCCCGCGGCGGGAGGGCTCACGTTCCACTGCAGCACCGAGTGCGGGAGCAGCGCGCAGGGCCCGAACACGCGGTTCCCGTTGACCACGAAGCCGCGGGGGCTGTAGCTGTCGATGTAGGCGGCGTGCGGGGCCTCGCGCTGCAGCACGGTGATGTGCGTCCTCTGGTACAGCTCGTCGT